CTTCACTTGGCTGCGGCAGACGGGTGCTGGGAAACTGGTTTCAAGGCAAATCTGTGGGATGCGGACTTGGACGCGCGCATATGCAAGGAGGCAGGCCATTTCTGGAGAAAGTTGAGGATGCGTGAGAAGGTCGCCGCCGCAGTAGCGGAGGTCGAAGAAGAGGTACAGGCGGGGCGCTTGAGATGGACTTACAAAGACATCATGCGATTGGTCCTCCCGCGCCCTCGACGCGGCCACTGCGACGACGCGTTCGCAAACCTTGGAGACGACGCGGCTCTGGACGAGGGCGACAAGATTTGGCATGGCATGGAGGGGGCGGAAGACGCAGCCGAGGGTCTCCGCAGCAGCGGGGGCACTGAGGGTGGCAATTCCGTCGACGCCCTCGAAGGAGATGAAGATGATGGGAGCGAGGACGACGACGGGTGGAGCGCCGCTGGCGAGTTTGACTACGAATGGGCCAATCAAAGTCTCACCGCAGCAGCGGCGGGGGAGAGCGCGCTGGAGGCACCGCCTGGCCTGTCGACGTCTCGCATGGAAACCGCGGAGCAGACGTCTGACTTGATGAGAACGCATTCGTCGATCGCTGAGGAGTTGCGCAGCTGGGGCGACATCGCGGGGGCCACGTTCATGGAGACGCAATTACGGAAAGAACGGAGGCGAGTGCGTGAAGTGTCGAAGGAAGATCCCGGGGTTCAGCGGGCCCTCGCAGCATGCGAGGACGCCCGCGAGGCGACGCTCAGAAACGAGAAACGACAGCGGGATGTCGAGGCGCGGCGCAGAGAAGAGCTAACCCGCCTGGGGGGCGACGTAAAGAAAGCGCGCAAGCTGCTGAGGACACAGCAAGCCAAACTCTTAGACGCAGAGGCAGCCATAGATATCAAACACAGGATGAAGCATGTCGGGTTATCCGAGCTGGGCGCGGGCCTTCGCAGCTGCGGAGGCGCGGCGGGTCGAACGTCGAGGTGCGACGCGCTGAATCGCCTTGCGATTTTGGGTTCTGGGCTTTCTGCAGCTCAGCGGTCAGATTTTGAGTGGTTTCGGCGGGAATGGGGCGCCGCTGGCATGGAGGACTTCGGTGGAAAGTGGCCGGAGACGTTTGCCACATGGCTGCAGAACGTCATAGACGAGTACTTGGGAGGCAACCCGAGAGCTTTCAGCATGTTTATGCACAGTGAAACGCGACGCCGTCTGTCTGGCTCCCTGGCGCTTGCGCTCCCTGCAGCTGGGGGCCTCTGAGAGGCGCGGCCCGCCGCAGCAGCGGCGAGGCGCGGGGTGTGAGTTCGGGCAGCAGCCACTGCTCTTCCACCTGGCTGCGACTGAGGTGCCGCGCGCGCGCGGACGTAGCGCAGGCCCTATGCAGAAGAAACAGGGAGGAGGGGGGACGGGGGAGGAGGTGAGAGGAGGGGGAGAGCAGGCAGGGGGAGAAAACCACGCGGGTGTCGATCACTCCGCCCCTCCTCCTGCTCTCCCCCCTCCTTCTCCCTGATCTCTCCTGGTCATTATCTCATTCCTCTCTCTATCTCTCTCTCTCTCTCTCTCTCTCTCTCGTTATCGTCGTCCGTCTCTCTCTCTCTCTCTCTCTCTCTCTCTCTCTCTCTCTCTCTCTCTCTCTCTCTATCCCTCTCTCACTATCTCCCTGTCTCTCTCCTCTCTCTCTCTCCCTCTCTCTCTGCCCGCCCTTTCCTTCCCTATCCGCCCCGTCTTCCTCCTCTTCGCCCCGCCCCCCTCCTTCCACCGCCGTTTCGGCCCCAGGAGTCCGGCTCTGACGGCCGCCCCCCCTGCAACGCGGGGGCAGGGAGTGATGGCCGCGGCCAGCAGCAGCAGCAGCAGCCCACTGGGCCCCGCAGCAGCGGGGCCTCGGGGCCGACTGTCGGCAGCGTTTACAGCGAAATCTGGGAAGGTTTGGCGACCTGTGGGTGGTCAGGCAGAACCCTGGAAGGGCCCTTGGGCCCCTGTGCCAGAGGGCGCCCCCGCAGCAGCGGGGGCTGCGCCGCCTGGCGTTTCAAGCTCAGCAGCGGCGGCGCGATCAGAAGTTTCTACGATACGCACCCGCCCAGGCGACTCGGTGGTGGATCCGAGCGATGACGAAGAGCCTCAGGAAGAGCGGCGCGATCAGCCGGCCTTTGGGGGCTGCGCGCCGCCCGACGACGTCGAGCGGCGCAACTGCGTTCTTCGCGACACCGTCCCGCTCGAGTTCTTCTGCGAAAGAAGAGCGGCTGACGTGAACAGGCAGCGGAACGACAACGTGGGCAACCTTTCCGTCCTGTTCGGGAACTGGGGCCCCATGCCGAGCGAGACCAACCACGCGGACCAGCGGCGGAGACTTGAGTTGCAGCTGCGGCATTGCCCTGCTCTCGTGGCGTGCTTTGCGGAATGTGAGGAGCAGATGGAGGCAATCCTACAGCGGCCAGGGAAACCACCGCCGCTGCAGGCGGACGCCCCCGCAGCAGCGGGGGCGTCAGCAGCGGAGGGCCAAAGCAGCAGCAGCGGTGGGCCTTTTGTCGCCCCCGCAGCAGCGATGGCGACAGCAAGAGGAAGTCGTGCTGCGAGTGTTGGCGATTGCCAACAGCTCCAGAATCGACCAGAGTACGAATACTTGACCCTGCGCGGGCGTGAGGACAAGTCCTTGTGCATCGCTGCGCGCGCAAATCTGTGTTACGCAATGCGGCTGCTCCACTGGGAAAGGAGTGTCGACGGCCACTACAAAACTGCAAAAGGGCACAAGATGGAAGCGTTCTCGAGGATCATGGTGGTTGAGGTCTACTTCGATCAAACCTACGCCCACTTCGGCTCGAAAGTGCGGGTGTGCGCGGTGCACCTCCACCGCGACACGGCGAAATGTTCCAAAGGCTTTAACGAGGCTCACAAGAAGTGGTGGCGGAGGCTGGCGACCACCTTGCAGGACAACAACGTTGACATCCTTTGTGGGGATTTCAACATGGCGCTCACACAGACGCTGCCGAGTCTTCGGGGTCTAGGCATGCGATTGGAGACGGCAGCAGCGTACTTCTGGCGCGGATTGGACGGCCCTCCGTGCTTGGACAGCTGCGGCATCTTCGTTCTCAACAGGCCTGGCGAGTACACCCTGTGCTGGCCGCTGAGCGCCGTGCACGACAGAGACGAGACGGGGTTGCTCTTCGCACGCAAGTCGGTGATCGGTGAGATCGGGTACCGTAACAGAAGCAAGGCAGAGGCCCCCGCAGCAGCGGGGGCCTCCACCAGCCCATCATCGGAGCCGACGTACTGGCACCACTGCCAGAACGGAGGCCTTGGGATGCCTTACGATCGCTATTACCCGAAAAAAGACGCCCGCGAGCACCTCCAGGATTCACTGACTCAGTCAGAGGAATGCCAACGCAAGATCCAAGAGAAGGAGCGTGAGAAACTGAGGCGCGCCGAGGCTGAGGCTAGAGGGGACCACCGCTTCTCTAATAATCGCGAGGTGACCCTCTTCCGCGCGTTGCAGAAGACGTTCCCGCCGGAGACCGTGGAGGTGGAGGGGCGCTGGCACGGCGGCGTCCACTACCCTCTCCTGTTCCAAATGCGCATGGCCAGCTCGCGTTCGCAGGGGAGGAAGCAGGAGAGAGCCAAAGAGATGAAGGACAGGCGCGCCTAGAAACAGCAAGCAGCTGCGCTCCAGGGCGGCAGCACGGACCCGAGCGCCAGGCACCAGAACAGCACCGCGAGAGGGACGAGCAAGACGAGCGCGCCCAACAGGCGTGGCGCCCACCAAGATGGGCAGACGAAAACGCGGACGACGGCCGCGACTGGCCCGCGGCTGGCGATGGAAGGTCGCGGCGGGGGGGTGAAAGGGGGAGGGAGGGAGAGGGGGGGTGGAGCACGGGGAGGGCAGGAGGGAGGAGAGGGAATGAGGAATATGCTGAGCAGGACGAGGGATGACATAAGGAAATGAGTGTCGGGAAGGGGCGGGAGTTGACAGGGATGGGGATAATTATAGAAATAGTTACTTATCACCCCCAAGGCGGCAGCCGACCCCGCAGTGCCCATCTCCAGGGCCTACGCCGCTGGAGCAGCGAGGGCAGCGCGGCGCCGCCAGCTACATCTCGGACGCGATCGCTGCCCTCGGCCACGAGCCGCCAGGGCCCCCGCAGCAGCGGAGGCCACAGACGCCATGGCAGCAACCAACAGACGGGGAGTGGCGCAGGGATGAGCGGTGGCGCACCAGGAAGGGCGAGGAGCGCGAGTGGCAACAGCCGAGCGGCGAGGCTTCCTCGCTGCAGGACCGCAGGGTCGATTCCGCCTGGCGCGACATGCAAGTTGCATTCGGCAGCGACCAACGCCCCAGTGACTGGTGGAGCAGCCACAGTGGGTGGAGTAGCGGCCAGGGGCACTGGGAGGCCACGAATTGGAGGTGGGTCGAACACCCCCCCGAGACCAATCCCTGGGAAGAACTTAGCTGAACCATCGCACAGGAGCCGCCCCTCCGCAGCAGCGGAGGGAGGCCTCATCGGCCGAACGTCGACCCTCCGCAGCAGCGAAGGCCTTGCCAATGCATCGTGAGCGGCGGCGACTCGCGCGCGCCGTCGTGCTCGGCGACCGCTGCCCGAGCGGAGAAGGAGAAAGAAACGGCGCTTTCATCGGTGCTGTCGTTGCCTCCTCTCCTTCATCGTTTTCTTCTCCCTCCCCCTCCAATCCCCCATCCCGCCATCGCATTTTATCGTCTCCAATCGTATCGGGAGCTCCCGTGGCAGAAGAGCACCCAGAACGAGGTCCTCCGTGACAGAAGGGGGGGCATCCTAGACCCCCTCTGTGACAGAGGGGGGGCATCTTAGACCCCCTCTGTGACAGAGGGGGGGCCAAAAAACAAATGATCACTTTAATGCGGCTTCTGGATTAGGCGTTGCTTTGAGCAACTATCTTTCTCAGGGGCCAGAACTTGGCACGCCGCGGTCGCGCGCCGTTTTGGAGCGGCTGCCCCAAGACGCCCCCCTCGATGAGAAGGGTCTCCCCGGTTTCCCAGACGTTGCGTCGTTGGACAGGGTGCTCGAGATGCTGCCCCCCGCCAGCGCGGATCACAAGGAGGACCTCGACGTGCCGGAGATGCCCTTCTCGATGCGTCCGCGGATAACGCGGCTGATCCAGGGCCAGTCGCTGGCGAGATTGCGCAGGAGGCAGAATGTGGTGCGATTACACCGATCCGTCAGCAAGTGGACGAGGCGGAAGAGACGCGGGGCGCCGACGTCAGAGTAGATGGAGTCAGATGTGCAGCTCGCCCTTCAACCTGATGAGTTCCAGCGGCCGACCATCGTGGACGCTGGGCTGCGGGTCAACGAGTTCTCTCTTGAGCCAGAAGACTGGGCCCCCCGTCATAGGCGAGCCGAGCGACGGGGCGGGGGGCCGCGCAGCGGGGCACCCCGCTGCTGCATTCGTTTCGTCGCAGGACATCTTTCACTCCGTTGGGGGCAACACCGCGGCCATCGCCCTCCGCGTTTCCCCTCCGTGGAAGCAGAGATCGCGATGCCAGGGCTCGGAAAGAAGCCGTGCCAATATTGGGCTAGGGCACAGTTACCGCTGGGCGTGCTGCTCTGATTGCCAGGGGCCCATCCAGGCGGGGCGATGATGCCCTGCCCCCTGCAGGACAGCAGCCAGGGGCCGTTGCGTCTGTGCAGCCAGGCCCAGTTTGTGGGGCAGCGCCTAGACGCGCGGCGTCCTTGGCGCAAGTTCGCGGTGCTATCGGGCAACGAGTCGCGCGACGCGATGTGCCCGAGGTGTTCAGCCCTGCCCAACGAAGACGCCACGAGACACTTGCTCGATATTGGAAGGGTTGGGGCTGCAATCGAGTACAAGGCCACAGGCCCCCTCAACGTCGCCGCCCGCGGGCGCGCCGCGCGCGGTGGAATCCAACCTCCACGGGGGGTGCGTCATCGATCAGAAGGACGATCATCTACAAATGCGCTACACACAAGAAAAGACGGTCGCCTGTGCGCCGCGATGCGCGACGGGCGGGGCAATGGCCCGCGGCGACAAGTCTCGCGACGTTGTGACACCTTAGGCAAGTCCCTCCGCGCATCTGAGCAGCCGCGGGCTCGGCAGTAGCGTGAGTGAGCGGATACAGGCGATGCTCGGGCTATCGACCTTGATCTGCCTGAGTGGCTCGGCGGCCCAGACTCGTGCGCTGGCGCGCCACAGGTGGCCGATATTGAGACGCGCGTGGCTCGCGGCCGCGTCGCGCGCATCCCGAAGGAGCGCAAGGGCGCCTTGCAGAGGGTCGCAGAAGTGGGGCGCGATTGGCACGAGGACCAGGGATGGCGGACTTCGCGCTAGGGGGGCCTATCGCTGGATTATGTATTCCTGTTCGTCATGTCTTTCTCTTGTTCTTCTTTGTTTGTTTTATATTCGTGTTTTTGTTGGTGAACATCGGCGTTGGGTTGGCCTCTGTTTACGTGTTCGCCTTGGGGCGCATCTTCCACGCGTGATTCAATTTCCACTGCGGCGCAAGTACCGCGCCTGGACAAGGCACGCCACCGACCTCGCAACGCTCGTGAAGAAGAGCTCTTGGGGGGGCCGCGTCTTCCCCCGCGCCCGCCCCTCTCTCGGACATGTTGCGCCTTTGTCTTGCGGTCCACGGGCGTCCTCCGTCCGCGTCCTCTCGCGCGGAGCTCCGAGGTAAAATCCGAATCTGAGAACGCTCGGCCAGAGGGCGGGGGGCGGGTTTTGCCTCTTTGGTCGGCGCGCTTTTTATTTTTGAGCGGTCGCCCCATCTGGGTTGGGGAGGTTATTGGTCCGCCTTTGTCTTTGGAGCACCCCCCCCCCGTCCCTTTTTTTGGAAAAAAAAAATGCCCTTCATTCCGAGGATTGAGGGGCGAGGGCCCTCCGCCCGCAGCTTCTTCTTGGCTGACGAGGCGGGTGCCCGAAAGGCGCGTGGCCCCCGCGCGCGGTGCTTTCTTTCGTCAGGCACATAGCAAGCGGAAGCGTCCAGTCGCGGGATCTACGCGATAGGGCAGCCCGTCGCCAACGTCGCCACGGATGGATTCGATACCCCAATGGCACGAAGGTTTAAGCAATCCGAATCTGACGAGGCGGAGGGAGGAGGACCCGAGCAAACCCATAATGCAAATATTCTTATTAGCAAGTAGTCAGGAATGCGAGCAGTTATGCTCATACAGTTCCACAAGGTGTTCAACGATGCATTTGATTTGAGAGTATGCCCTCACCAATGCAACTGTTGCACAATCTGATGCTTATGGCGATAGGTTATGATGGACTGACAAATTGGAACGGCACTCGCAACACCCAACATCCACGTTGAAGTTGGAACGCGGGGGCGATGGAGAAGAGGGAAGGATTTGGATCTCGGGCATTTGTGACGAGGTTTTATCGCGGATGCCATTGCTGGGGGCGTGCGGCGCGCATGCCTCGGGCTATTTTGCAGCCGGGATGGGGGCCGGGGAACAGATGGAGGAACGGAGGGAACGAAGACGGAACTGGGAAAATGGTGAATGATGGAGCGGGGCGTGAACCCCGAACCTCCGAGTTTCTGATTTCCTCATTTTGTGGCCCCCCAGGGGCTTCGACCACAACCCCGGGGCCAGATTTTCATCTTGAGTTCACACATGGCGTTTTAGAAGCCGGCCGGGGCAACCCTGGTGGTGGAATTGGCAGCACACGTTCGGTCGTCATTTTCTGGCAGTACGACGGGTTCTGGGGGGGAGGAGGAGGAGGAGGAGGAGGAGGAAGAGGAGGAGGAAGAGGACATGAACAAACCCAACAAACCACGCCTCTAAGTTTCGTGGCCATACGCTCTTTGAACACAGTATGTTCGTTTTGGGAAGTGCCCCATTGGAAGACAACTCAACCGTGCTTTTCTGATATCCTATATTATCAATTGTGCGAGTCAACATGATTGCTGCGTCCTGACAGTCGTATACCGTGCCAGAACCCGCGCCCTGGGATTTTCTAAAATTGCGAATCAGGGTGATTGTTCGGGACAATCCTAAACCGTGCGAGACCACCATTGTTGGGATCTCAACAATACGAAACCTTTAAAGTGTTGCAAGTTTGCATGACGAATGCGCGCGGCGCGCATGCGAAAACCACATTTTGAAAACGACCCGGCATTAGGAACTGTTACGAATTTTTAAGACGGATGTCCACAGCGGTTAAGCGAAATCCGCATTATGAAAAGGACCCGCCGTCCACCCTTGACGCCGGTGCAAGCTTTTAAGGTGGATGTGCACGGTCAATGCGATAATCATTTCTTGAAAAAATAAACGCCCTACATCTTTGACATGGTTGCGAATTGGTAAGACGGATGTGCGCGGCGATAACGCGAGAGCCACATTTCGAAAACGAGCTGCCAACTATTCTCGAAGTTGCTGCAAACTTGTCTGACGGATGTGCGCGCCGCTCAAGCGAGAGCCGTTTTTTGAAAGCGACCCGCCGCCCGTTTTTGAAATTGTTGCAAATGTCGAGCTTCAGGCTCATACATGGAGGGGAAGTCTTAGGCGAGACGCACTGTGCGCCCTGCCGCCTTTGGGTTCGCGACAGGGAGGAGCTGTCTACGAGGAAAGAGGATGCAGCAGGAGGAAGAGGAGGGGGATGAGGAGAGGCAGGACTCGTACCTTCCAAAGTGCTAAAGCGCGCCACACCACTTGACCCACAAGAACCGCTTAAGGAATATCATGCTGTTACTTTGTTGTCCGTCCTGGGGCGGAGTGGGGAAGGAAGGGGAAATGAGGAGGGGCCAGGCGGCGTAGAACGAGTGAGAAGCCGCAGCAGCAGGATGGGGGATGATGGGGGAGGCAGGATGAGCTGGGACGCAGGGATCCTGACCTTCCACACTGTGGACAATAACCTTCAAGGCATACCCATCGACCCATCAGGACTGCTCAAAGCCTTGACCCGAATTTCAGCTCCGCAGTCCTGGTGGTATTACTTCGGCCTGCCTGGAAGGCCAGGGTTAAGGAGGCGAAGAAGAAACTACGTTATACATAAAATCGTTCGGATGTCCGCGCGCATTTCTCGGATCGGCGCTGGACCGCTCTCACTAGCGCGCGAAGCCTGCTAGGGGCGGCGCTGGAGGCGCAGCCAGGGGGGTCCAGCGCCGATTCAACAAGTCCGAGCGGACCTCCGAACGTCTCAGCTGCTATCGGCTGGTGTCGTCTGCTATCGGTTGCCCCTGTCTGCTGTCTGTTCTGCTAGCACCTCTCAGCCACACCAGCTTCTCTGCTCCTCTGGAGGAGGCGGCGGCTTCACAGGCCATTCGTCGCCGGGCGCGGAGCGGTAGGCAGGCCGTCCCTGTCCAGACAGGGGCCCCGCCTCGCGGCCGGTGCTTCGTGCGGCGGCTTCCGTGCCGCGGTGGAACACAGAGGGCTCCTCAGCTCCTCCTCGCGTCGAGCATCGGGGTTCGTGGTTGCAGGATTGAGGATGTGTTTGGGCCTTCTCGGGTGCCCTCGTGGGCACGATTGGAGCCCCCCCCGAGTCCTGGCCAGAACGCGCCCAAGGTCGGTTCTCGAGAGGAGAAGTCGCATCCTGCCTCGTCAGGAAAATCACGACCGACTGCTTTCTCCCATTTTCGACCTCTGGAGGGCTTCACTCGGCCCTGGGACCGCTTCAATGGCAAAACTATGCGGGATGAACAACTGGCCCCAGTGAAGCGGTCGAGACTTTGTCCCCCCTTCGGGTCGGACGAACGAGGGTGGTAGGAGGAGGAGGACGAAAACGAGGATGGGTTCTCCGGGCTCCCCGCACCCATTGCCTCGTATTCTTATTGCGCCCGTTGCTAAGCAACGCCAAGCGCTGCCAAGCAATGCCAAGCAACGCCAAGTAATGCCAGCCGGTTGTCTGCGTTCGACCTCTCGCCTGGCACGGCCATGGACATCCGTGCCGGATACGAGTTGCAGGTTCGTTCGAGACATGCTACTAACATCGGTTTCGGAAGGGGTCCCTAAATTCTGAACTTTGTAGGGTTCAAACTTAACCCCCAGAAAACCCCGCATGCCCTCTTGAGAACCCAAAGAAAGTCCAAGAGCGCCCCAAGAGGGGCCCAAAAGGCTTCCAAGAGGGTCCCAGCTGGCAAGACAGCCCAAGAGAGAGCCCGCACAGCTCCCCAAGACACAAGGTCCAGGCGTCCCCAGATGAAACCGACAAGCTTCCTAGAAGCGCCCACGTGACTCCTAAGAGGCCCCAGAAAATTTCGAAGACGGTCTCAGATGCTCATGGTAGTCCACATCGTAGCCACGACAAGCACTAAAGGCCCTTACGTCTTCAACGTCCTTCTCGTCATGCTCCCCATTCCTCTCGTCGTCTTTCTCCTCCTCCTTCTCGCCCTCCTTACTGTCTCCTCATTGTCCTCCAAGCTGTGCCTTCACTTCGTCTTTCTCCTAATCGTCCACTCCGTCGTATTTGTCCTCTCCCATCTTGTCCTACTTGTCCTCGTCGTCGTCCTCGAGAGACCAGTCGCCCTCCTCGCTCTCCTCACTGACCCGTCCTCATTTACGCTGTCATCCTCGTCTTCTACGCTGCCGTCCTCCTATCCCTCCTCGATATTGTCCACTTCCCTCTCCTTCTCTTGCTCTTTCTCCTCATCTCTATCCCCCTCGCCCTTATGTTTGTCTTCTCCGCCTCAGTCCCTTCTGTCCTCGCTCGTCCCTCGTCCTCGACGCTGTCTTCCTCATCACATGCCTCCTCTTCGTCCTCCTCTCCATTATTTTCCTCTCCGTCTTACGAGCCGAGCGGGCAAAAGCGGCGCTTCGGGTTATTGTCTTGTCAGGTTTACCATTTTTTTGATTACCCTGATTGGAGCAGGGCGCTTTTCTTTGCCTGCTGGCATGCCTGCCTGTCCGCGCCCTCTTGCAAAAAGCGCCATGGGCAGCCCGCCGAGTTTCCCCCAAGCCCCTCGAAGCTCACCTCGGACCTGTTCGAGGGAGCCCAGGAGGCCGGAAACTGATCCCAAGACTCGGGCGGGTAGTATTTGGGGTGACCCACATGGGGGGTGAAGAAAAGGGCCCCAGAGGGGCCTTTCAGGGCCCCTTTGGGGGGCCAGCTGGGGCTCTTTCCTTCACCCCCCCACATGGGTCACCCCCAAATGTCACTCGCCCGAATGATCCTTGCCCCCCTCCCCCCTGCCGCCGCACGACGGCGGCGCACGGCGGCGGAGGCGACGGCGGCGGCGGCGACGATGACGGCGGCGACGACGACGACAGCGGCTACGACCTGTGAGGGCGAAGACGACCACGACGACCACCACAACCACGACTACGGCGGCAGCGACGTCGAGGACCATCCTGTCCCCCCTCATCGCCGACCTCGCGAGCCATCCCGCCGCCCTCCCCCGACGACGGCGCCGACGAGGGCGAGCCGGCCAGGAGCCAACCTGTCCGCGATCACTTCGGTGATCCGCATCTTCCGCATCGCCAGGCTGTTCCGGCTCCTCAGGCCTCCCCGCTCCGGCCCCCAGGCGCTGGATGCGGGCCGCGAATCGGGGGCAGCCAAGAGGGGGGGCGATGATTAGGGCGAGGTGGAGATCATGGCGTGGGCCATGATATTTCCTCTGATTTCATTGCGCCTCTTCCTATTTCATTACGTCCCTGGCCTCTCCCCGCGGGCCGCGCATATGCCGCTGGCCATGATTTGCGCCCCCCCTTTTGGACGCCCCTCCTCTTGGCCGCCCCCGAGCGAAGGGGGAGGGGACAATCGTGCCGTCCCCTCTGCTCCGCCCTGTGAGCGTGTGTACCCTATTGTCTCTGCTTCTGCTTCCCTTAGCTATCGCAGTGTCGGCTCAAGGTGTTGACGTAGCACTGACGACGGGAATCTGCCCCTTGGGAAAAAATAGCGTTCTCGTCATCGTCTCTATCCTGCGGAACCTTGGGTGGGTTGGGCTCTTTGACTCTCTTCCCCCTCCCCTCCGCCCTCTCCCCTCGTCGTGCGCTTCAGCGGGAGTTCCTCGTCCTGCCTGGTGGGGGCTCGGTGGGGCGTGGTGTGAGCTACGGTGCCGCTGGCGTGCTGCTCCGTCCAGGGCCGCGCTGGCATTGTGAGCCGCTGCCTGTGGGGCGGAGGAGGACGACGGGGAGGGGGGCTGGGGGAGCGTGAGGACGAGGGCGAGGGGGAGCGGTAGTGATGAGGGGGGCTGGGGAGACGGAGGTGGATGGGGATGAGGAGTGGCCGAGGAGGACGGTGGCAGCTGTCGGTGGTCTGTGCAGGGGGTGCAGGGTGATCGTGTGGAATTGTCAGAGGCTCTCAGAAGTTCTGGGAGTGCCTATGGAAATATGAAGAGGATGAGGTGGATGACTAGGGGAAGCCAGAGGGAGGAGGGGAGCCGAATCACGAATCCTTTATTGCGGCTGCCTTGATTATGTATTTTTCCCAGCTCTCCTTCTTTGAATCCTCGTGCTGTAATTTCCCTAGCAACGCATTCAAGTAACAGCATAGATAACCTGTGGGACATGTGGGGCAGGTGGAAAACTGTACGCCGCCTCTGTACGCCGCCTCTGTTGGGCTATCCGATACCCTACACTATCTTCCCATCACTTCGATACTCTTCGCCCTCTTCCCGTCACTTCGATACTCTACGATCTCTTCCCATCACTTCGATAGCTTATCTATGTCTTCTTCTTCAGGTGCTGGCATGACGCGCGCCCCAGGCACACCGGTCAAGCAGCTGTTCAAGGACACCCTCCAAACAGTGGGGACGGCAGATGAATATCTAATCGCATCTCCAGAACAGAAGTTGGCAAAGCGTACTCCGACGAGCCCGCTCGACGAAATGAGCGACGACGAGGCTGGGAAAGAGAAGGACATGGAGGCTGAGTCCAATCCACGTCCCTTCCTGGACGCAATCGGCAAGCTGATTAAGAACGAGCTGCCGATCAAACGCGACATAGCTGCGATAAAACAGCAAGGCGTATCTCACCAGGATCTCCAGGACGCCGTCCAGCCGCTCAAGGCGGCAGTGGACAATATCGCATCCAGGGTATCGGCATTAGAAGTTTCCACGCCCAAAGCAATGTCGGCCAGGTCTGGGTCGGAAGCCTCCCTGGGGACGGTCCTGGAAGCGAAACTCCAGGAGGTGGAAAACTATATCAATGATCTCACGGGGAAGTGGCGAAAGACAAACGGAACGATTGCAGTGCTTGGTGGAATGGATGGTTTTGCCGATCTGGCAGCAGCCCCAGACTTCCTCAACACGCGCATTGCCAATATCAACGTCCCGCCGCCGGCCGACATCTTCATCAAAGGTGAGTCGTTCAACGGCCTCGTGTTTGCGAAGTGGGCAGCCCTACATCCGTGGATATTTTGGTCAAGCACTTCCGCCAGAACAATATTTCTCACAATGGTAAGAAACTCTGGGCGTACCGGGATATGCCAATTACTCAGCGTGTGCCTCTCCATTTTCTCTTCGGCTTCAAACGTCTGCTGACGGAGTGGGGCTTCAGGAAGCAAGCGGTCAAGATCGACGACGAGGTCCTGACGATGCACGTTGCGGGGGAGCACATTATCACAGTCTCCGTGGACAACGGCACTATGCACCAGACGTGGGCGAAGACGGAACGGGAGAAGTGGAGCGCACTTCGCAACGATTCCGAGTTCAAGCAGCTTGGTGCTTCTTGCCAGGAGATCTTCGCCCGCGTCGCGGAGAAAGGCAAGGGGAAAAGCAAGTGACGGTGCCCGGGGGGCGAGGACACCGTTTCACCCAATCATTTTTCAGCGCCCCCTTCTGGCCCGCACCCTCGTCCAGCCACCCGTGCGCAACATGGGCACGCCACAGTGGCCACGTGGAAGGTAACCGGCCTGACAGACGAGAAACTCCACACAATTTGCGAAGCAATGCGTGTTGAGAGGATCGATTTTCTCCGCCTTCAGGAAACGTGGGCTCCTAAAGCAGAGTACTGCACATACAATGGTTATCGCATCGTTTTGTCGGGCTCCGAGGGGTCCGGCGACGAAAACGCACCAAGAGCAGGAGTGGGATTCATAGTTGCGCCGCACATGTCGTCATGCATATGTGGCTTCTTGCAGTACTCAGACTGGCCTGCCTGCCTCAAAGTCCGCGGGGGCAGAGGCAAACATGCGCTGGTCACCTGCTATGCTCCACGCAACCTTCGACCATTACCATATAGGCTACAGTTTTATTTGGTTTTGGAAAAAAATGCTTAAATCGGTATCTGTGAGCGGAGCAAAATATATCCTGGGGGATTTCAATGCCCGGCTTGGCCAGCGCCGGCGGGGAAATGAACGCACCATAGGTCCGCGCACCTTCGGCGAAGAGGCAGAGCACAAAACCGAATGCCCCAACCGGGACCTGCTGATGGAGTCCTGCACGCTACAGCAATACCCTATCAGCAATACTTTCCAAGACGTCTCTGCTGCACGACTTGTTACATACATGGAGGCGGGCACGAAACCGATGGACGAAGTCGCGCCCCAAAAGTTCGCTATGCTTGATTTGCTTCTGGTGCCAAACACGAGCGTCACAGAGGTGATCTCGGTCGCAAGCCGGCGTGAGGTGGTTTCGGCTGCCCGGCATTTCCTGGCATGTTGCAAGTTTGACATGGACATCAAAGAATTGCCCCGTTGCCAACGACCTGTGGGGAAACAGCTTCAAAGCTTTCAGGATCCTGGAGTACGACAGCACTTCGTGAGCACTTTTCTGGAGAACATGAATCAGGATTTCGACGTCGCGGATGTGGTGGAATATTCCTGGAGGGAGATCTCTGCCGCGATGCACGTTGCAGCCGCGGGACTACCTGACGAGGTGCCCCGACCCAGACGACCTTTGATAAGTGACAGGACAGTGCAGCTTATCCACGAAAGGTCGCAGGCGAGACTCGACGGAGACTCTGGGCGCGAGAAAGACATGCACAAAGCCGTGAGGAAATCTGCGAGGCAAGACAACACTAAACGGCTGGAAGACTCAGTGGCGACAGGGCCGTGGAAAGGCATCCGGAATTTCTGCAAACCCCGGCCAGCTAAGCAAGGGAGATTGCGAAATTTGGATGGGGATTTGGTGAGCAGCGAGGCATGGGCGGACACAGTGGCAACATATTTGGAAAAAAGTTCAATGGGGAGTCAGGCCGGCTGATGTCATCGATACGCCGGCGCTCGGAGACACGCTGCCGGTCAAGCTGTCCAAGTTCACGGCAGACGAGGTCAATAATTGCTTGCGGCATTTGCGCTCAGGCAATGCGCCGGGGCCAGACGGAACCCCGCCAGAATGCTGGAAGGTACGTGCGGACATTTCTGCCGCTCTTCAACATGTCACAGTTTTTGTCAACTATTGTTGGCAGAGTCGACGGGTCCCGCAAGAATGGCACCAAGCAAGGGTTACGACCATCCATAAGAAGGGCAAGACCGACGAGTGCAGCAACTATCGTCCAATCAGCCTCCTCGTGATTGGGTACAAAGTCTTTGCGTCTCTGCTGCGCCGGCGCCTGGTGGACGGCGGCGCAGGGGCAAGGCTAACAGAATTTCAATTTGGGTTCAGATCCAAGCATGGGGCCCAAAAGGCCAGTTTTGCATTACGCAGACGAATTGACCTGGAGCTGGGAGGACCCGTCGGAAACTTGTATGCGTTGGCCCTTGATTGGAAAAAGGCTTTAGATTCAATCGACCCTGCTGCCATGATTTTCGGATTACGTCGCTTCGGCCTGCTAGAGCATGCTTCCGACGTTATACGTTCTATTTATATCGACCGATGCTTTGAGGTGCGGGACTGCGGTGCGACGTCTTCTTCGATGCCACGGGCGTCAGGGATATCGCAAGGTTGCCCGCTGTCACCGTTCTTGTTTGTAATGGCGATGACAGTCATCATCGAGCAAGCGGCTTCACGGCTTACTGGTTCCGACCGGGGCTCCTGGGGACGAGGGTCTCTTTCCGTCTTGCGGCGCACAGATGACTCATTGATCTTGGGAAGAACAACGCGGGCAGTGGAAGCGCTATTACAAGCAGTCCAGCAAGCTGGGAGGTCATATGGCATGGAGCTGCGCCCCGGCAAGTTCCAACTCTGGAAGGCCCGGCGCGCAGGCGAAGTCCGAGACGTGCACGGGGGCGCCATGCCGGCGCAGCCAGATATGGTTTACGTGGGCGCTCTTATCTCTGACACGGGAGATGCAAACAAGGAGCTCTCTCGCCGGCTGGGCGCGGCGCGGGCCGACTTCGATAACTTTTCAAAAATATAGGGGACATTCAAGTTTGAGCCGGCGCAGAAAAATTGAGATATACGAGGCTGTGGTTCTCAGCAAGTTGAAATATGGTTTGTCTTCTCTGTGGTTCAGCGCAGCTGGGCGTAGGCGATTGGATGGTTCCCGTTGCCGGCGCCCCCGCTCTATCTGGGGGATCGCGCCCGCCTTCATTTCAAGAGTGAGCAGCGCTACAGTTCTTCGCGAGACAGGGCAGGCCCCTCTGACGGACGCCGCGGCAAGGCAGCAGCTTCTCCTGCT